CACCAACTTCCTTTTTAAAAGACATATTTCCTCTCTGTCTTTTGTCCTACTGATAGGTTCTTCTGAACAGTTCAAAGCACATAGAAAAATCTTTTCCAGACAAATTTCTACAACCATGGCTTGGCACAGGACTTCTAACAAGGTATAGTAATATACAGGGCTCGCCAAGCGGCGGTGAGCCCCGCTCGCTAGCTGCATAGTGATGGCTTTCAAAATGCTGGTCATTTTTCAAATCATACCCGGCGAAGGAATGATTGCATCAACAGGGAAGGATGGTAGTGAACATGTAGTCTCCAGTGCAGCAAAGCAGATAATCTCACGATAATTTTGCAGAATGTGAATAGTCTAATTGCCTTGAATGGCATTACTTATATAATAAACAACAAATGGTCCAAGAGCACCTTAGAGATTAACAAAAAAAGTAGATAGTATGAGTTTTCGTGGGCACAACCCATTCCATATAAAGAATGGAGCAAGGGGTCCAAAGGTTCAAATAAACAGTAGAAAAGAGGGAGATGAGAGAAAAAGAAGAAAAAAAAACCTTGTCAATTAGAGTGTCTGTGTTAAATGAGGCTTATAGAGTGCGCTATAAGTACTCGGTGCTTAGCTTTTTATATCATTAGGGTGTGGAATGTAGCACCTCGATTACAGGTGTCAAACTTGTAAATGAAACCAAGTTCTGCATCTTCTCTCTCCAGCTGGTTTTTTAAATTGCTTTGTAATATATAGTCACTTTTAGATCCATTAATGAATGCCTGGCAAGCTAAAATGTTTCCCAACAGGTTTCTGTGTGTTACCATTTCAAATCTGATTTGTGTCCATTAGTTCTTTGTCATAGTGATTGTCCAGTTTGGCCAATATACATGGCAGAGGGGCGTTGCTGACACTTGATGGCATATATCACATTAGTGGTTGTGCAGTTGTATGAGCCTCTGATGTGATGGCTTATGTGGTTAGGTCCTGTAATGATGTCGCTTGTATAGATGTATGGACAGAGTTAGCACCTGAGTAGATTGCAGGGATGGGTTCCTGGGTAAGTATGATGGAGGTGTGCTGCATGGTTGCTGGAAAGAATTTGCTTCAGGTTAGGAGGTTGTCTGTAATTGAGGATTGGCTTGTCCCCCAAGGCCTGAGAGAGTGAGGGGTGATTTTCCAGGACAGGTTGTAGATTGTTAATAATGTGCTGGAGGAGTTTAAGTTGGGGGCTATAGGTGATGATCAGTGGTGTTTGGTTGTTTTCTTTGTTGGGCCTAGCTTGAAGGACCTGATGCCTGGGTACTCGCTTGGCTCTGTCAATCTGTTTTTTAATTTCCCTGGGTGGCTATTTAAATTTTAAAAATTCCTGATATTGATCCTGTATATGTTTGTCTCTGTCTGTGGGATTGGAGCAAATCCGATTGTATTTTAGGGTCTACCTATAAACAATTGATTGCGAAATGTGTTTTGGATGGAAGCTAGAGGCATGTAGACAAGTGTAGCAGTTGGTAGGTTTCTGGTATAAGGTGGTGGAAATGTGGCCATCGTGTCATTGTACTGTAGTGTCAATGAAGTAGATCTCTTGTATGGACTGGTCCAGGCTAAGGTTGATGGTGGGATGGAAGTTGTTGAAATCCTTGTGAAATTCTTCAATGGTCTCTTTCCCATGGGTCCATATGGTAAAGATGACATTGACATAGCGTAAGTAAAATAAGGATGTTAGGGGGCAAGAGCTGATGAAACATTGTTCAATGTCAGCCATCAATATGTTGGCATATTGTGGTGCCATGTGGGTGCCCATGGCTGTGCTGCTGACTTGAAGATATACATTGTCTCCGAATCTGAAGTAGTTCAAAATCCGGGGAGAAATTCTAATCCCATTGAAGTCAGCAAGCAGCCGGTCCACAAGGGGAGCTGGTTTTTAAACTGGCTCCCCTTGCAGACCAGATCCCACCTGGCATCCTGCACTGCAGCCTCAGGAGTGAGGCTGGAGCTCATGGGCTGTTGGCACCACCCCTGGGGATTTTAGAATAGTTGGCTAACTGATAAGAATTCTTGAAGTTACTCAACTATTTAATTAACTGATATTTAACATCTCTGGTTGAGATCCCTATGGAATTCTTCAAGGGTCTCCTTCCTGTGGGTCCATATGATGAATACGTCATCAATGTAGCATAAGGGTGCAGGGGTTGAGAGTTGAGGTAATGTTTTTTGAGTCAGCCATAAAGATGTTGGCATATTGTGGGCCCATGTGGGTGTCCATGCCTGTGCCACTGACTTAGAGATATAAATTGTTCCCAAATTGGAAATAGTTGTGGGTGAGGACAAAGGCACAGAGTTCAATTACCAGGTGTGCAGTGTCATCATCATGGATAGTGTTCCTGACAGCCAGTAATCCATCATCATATGGAATGTTGGTTTAAAGGGCTCCTACATCCTTGGTGGCCAGGATGGTATTTTCAGGAAGGTTACTGATGTTCTCTAGTTTCCTCAGGAAGTTGTTTTTGGTGTCTCAAAGGTAGCATTTGTTAGTGTGATCAGAGGAGAGAATCCTGTAGAATCTGATGTTGGTGAGTTGTCTGGCAGTCTCCTGTTCATAAACTGTTCTGTTCATGATGACTACAGTACCCCCTTTGTCAGCCTCTTTGATTATAATATTAGAATTGTTTCTGAGGCTGTGTACAGCATTGTGTTCTGCATGGCTGAGGTTATATGTCACATGTTGTATACTGGCTGAAGACTGGAATGGGACTTCAGAGCAATTGATGTAACAACTCAAATGCACTAAGCTCGGGTTTTCATAGCTGATAGAAAAGGTTTAATTCAACAAAAGAATATCCATCTGTTATAATCTACCAAAACAAATATTATCCTCGCACAAATGACACATGTACTCTTATTGATCTAGCCCTCAGCTATGCTCACTTAGCTTCATGAACTTCAAGGTCAGCCATGTGCCTCTGTGAGTCAAACTCAGGCCTGTTTGTGCTCTTGACCCATACTGGCTACTGGTTTGAAAAGGATTCACATTTCAAACTGACTTAGTTGAGTTGACCCTGGCAGCCTGGCTATGTGGGTACAGCCTCATACCTAGACTTGGACTACTTAAAAACGGAATCCAGGGTGGTCTAAAAAGACACCAACTGAGAGGTACTGTGGTAGGCCCCTGAGTTCTGATTCATGTATAAACAATGTGGGTGACTTGCCTGGATGGCAGTCACTGAAAAACCAGCTGAGACACTACCAACAGGGGCCTACGGAACTGAAAGATTGCAGACACAAGGGGCGTTCACAAGAAGTGGGTGTCACACCATTACATGTTGCCTTTGTTATGGATGCTAACATTTCTGTTCTATGCACAACACTGTATGGAATGGGTACATGCTGCTGCATGGTTCCAAATACAGCCCCCGCCCCACTGCTCAACCATAACCAGTAAGCCTCACCCATTAACCATTCGCATCCCTAAGAAGAACCCAGATCTTCTGACTCCTAATCCAGTATCTAATTGGCTGGATCACAGTATTGAGCACTATTATTGACCACAGTATTGAACACTATTATTGAGAACAGTATTGAGCACTATTGTATAGGGAAATGGAAGAGGAGAATCCTTCCCCAACGGTCAAAGCTGCAAAGTAGCTCCTTCACGACCACTGTAACATTGCTTTCATTTTTAAGGCCTTTTGTACTTTGAAGCAAACTAGATCTCATTTCTACCCAAGGTATCTGCATTCAGCACCCAGCTCACGTTTGTGAAGCAGACTCTGAGCACCTTGCCAGTTATCAGATTTATATCAGGATTATGATTCATTTTATCATTAAGTTGTCTTCCTTTATGCTCTTAGAACTATGGTAAAAAGCTGTGTTATCCAGAAAGCTCTATAAATGTGCATTTCTAATCTTCTAAAAACCAGGCTTTTGATGTTCAATTGGTGTCGGACCTGCAGGCCCCGTACTTGGCTCCATGTTGCTCCCCAGAAGCAGCAACATGACTCTGCTGCTCCTAGGTGAAGGAATGGACACCAGGTTACATGCACTATTCCCACCCCAACCCATATGCTTGCTCCAGAGCTCCCATTGGCCAGGAACCACGGCCAATGGGAGCTGCATGGGAGCATTGCCTAGGAGCAGAGATAGCACACAGAGCTGCCTAGCCATGTCACCATCTTGGAGCAGCAGGGATATGTTGCCGCTTGCAGAAAGTTGCCCAAGATGAGTGCTGCCTGGATCCAGCACCCCAAAGCTCCTCCTGCACCCAAATTCCCTCTCCAAGCCTGAAACATGTACCCCTTCCCAAACTCCAACCCATTGGCTCCAGGCTGGAGCCCACTCCACTAGACATCTCAGCAGAGGAGGAGATAGAGTAGGCCTGGCTCACCTCAGAATGAGCGATATGACTTGGGAGGCTGGAATCAAGCATCGTGAAGGAGCTTCATGGGAGGAGGGAGATTATTGAGCTCACTGCAATGGAAACAATTACTTTCAGGGAAGAGGGACCACAGAAATGTATTTTTCACCAACATCTGTCCCATCACCTTAACAGCTCTGTGGGAGATTAATCCTCTTCTCCGAGTAACATTTGATAGATGATACTGATGCAGTATTATCATGCTCTAACTATCCCTAATTCCCTCTTTTTTACATAGGGGAAATACTCATAAACAGAAGTTGTTCTCATAAGACTGAAGACCGGCTTAGCTGGGGCTGGGATGCTAAATATTTAACAAGGGTCTTTTTCTTTACCCTTGTGACCCACTTCCATCCCAAGTGCCTCCTCAATGTCAGCCTTTAACATTTAACTTATGGTAACATTGTGCACAGTATTTGTCTTGCAGCAGCTACAGTTTGCACCATGCTGTTAGCAGCACTGTATGGTTAGAGTTTAGTAGCAAAATGTACTTCCACTTTGCCCCTTGCAGTGGTGCTGGCTGTAACTATTGACATTAATTTATGTATGGAATATGTTACAAGTCATGAGAGCCACTCTTTACTGTCATCACTGAAGATGGACTGACCGAGACTACATTGTCCACTGGCAACATTTGAAAGTATTAGCTATGACAATCTATATCAGGCCTGTACGCAAGGGGGCTACAAAGGATGCGAACACAACCCCCCACCACCTTCATGCTCCGCCAAATCTATATCAGGCCTGTACGCAAGGGGGTGCAAAGGACACGAACCCAACCCCCCACCACCTTCATGCTCCATCGTGGGGCTGATTTCAGCCAACCTAGGGAAGGCAGAGGCAGTGCATTGCCCCAGCCTCCCTCCCCTGTATTCTGTCTGGCTGGGGGAAAGCAGGGAGACATGCTGCCCGAGCATCCCTCCCCTATGCTCTGGCTGGTTGGGGGGAAAGTAGGGAGGTGTGTTCCTTCCTCACCCTGGAGTGAGGCTGGGGTGGGGCTGGGCCATGGGGGTTGGATGCAACCACCAGACCCTCCCACAGTATCCCCACCCCCCCAAAATTCCTATGTATGGGCCTCCATGTACCAGTTGTATCTACTCTAATGCCAAGAATTGTACTCACTAAGCACTTTATTATTTCCTTTGCGATGAGCTGTTTAAACTTAATTTCAAACTTTTTATTTTGTAGCACTGGAGATAAGTGGCGTTCCAGAAGGAAAATGATAACTCCCACATTCCACTTCTCAATCTTAGCTGATTTTCTTGAAGTTATGAATGAACAAACCAATATTTTGGTTGATAAACTTGAAAAGCATGTTGACAAAGAGCCATTTGATTGCTTTCTAGACATCACTCTCTGTGCCCTTGATATAATCTGTGGTAAGTCCTAGTGTTTATTCAATAGTTGCTATAAAACTTCTGTAAAAGATAAGGAAACTACAGCTGTACACAGTGTTTCAGCTTCATTGTTTTGAGTTACATGACAAAAAGCCCTTCTCCCCACGAGCACTGGATCCTGTGGAGCTACCTGCCTCCTCCCTCTCTTGTGCTGTTGCCTCTTACAGAGAGGCAGCAGCACAGCAGGGGAATACAAATCAGAAATGGCTTTCAAGCCAGCTCCTGCAGAGCTGCCTGTCCCCTGTGCTGCTGCCTCTTCATCACAGGCAGATGCACAGGGAGAGGGGAAACAGGTAGCTCCTCAGGAGCCGGTGCTTATGGGGAACCAGCTTTTAAAAGGAGAGCCAGTGCTCGTGGAGAGCCTCTTTAAAAGCTGGCTCCCTATGAGCACCGGCTCCCACTTCCCCAACACATGTAAACTTGTAACTGCTAAATAATCCAGTGATTACACATTCACACAAATACACGTTAGTTAACGTCCCTAATGCCAGGACATGAGACAAATGTAAATGGCTGTAATGCTTGCATGTAACACATATAGTGTATTGTCAATGTACTTATGGCTCTTTTACCCAGTTAGTCTGTTCATAATAAATCTCTTACCTTTTTTTCTAGAAACTGCGATGGGCAAGAATGTTGGTGCGCAGAACAATAGGGATTCTGAATATGTCCGTGCTATTTATAAGTAAGTCTAGATTTTTCAAGTGATGTATGAACAGGGTGCAGTTGCAAATAGTGCTTCCACAGCTTACATTGTCTGGACTAGTCACCATGGTTCCTGGAGTTGGGACACTGAATCTATATGGGGCCCAACTCACTTATGATATGCATCTTGTATAAACATTTATATAGTGCAAAGTGAGTGTGAAATGGCGTCAGATTAGAATGGCAAAGTTTTGCACTCATTATGCATTAGTGTAAAAGACTACAGGAGATGCAGCACAACAGTGACATGAGAATAATTTACATCACACCATATTAACGTAAAGGGTCATTAAAGTGTGTCTAGCTATCATTTATTTTCATACCATGGGCCCTTTTTACTGACAGTAAAGGGGCCTCACTGACAATAAAAGTCAAACCACATGGATCTATATCAATTATATTTGTTACAAGCTTGTATTGGTTATATGATCATTTGTTTTGGAACTGACCCTATTGTAAATGTAAATGCAGATTAATGTTATGGATTTCAGTAGAGTTACTCCAGCTTGACATTAGTGTGACCGAGAGAAAAATTTAGCTGTAGGTTACTTTTTCAGAGTGACAAACTTCTTTAATTATTACTGCTTTTAAACGGGAAGTAGATTTTACCAAACAGAAGATTTCTATAACAAAAAATGTGAAAAGTATTATCGGTGGTACTGAGCTTTATAATTAATTGAAAGTGGATTGATAGCATTCCAAAAGACTAGACAAAATGATTTGTGTCTTCAACATCAGGTAGTACTTGAATCATCCTGTCCAAGATCAGGAAATATAGACCCTATTTGATGCTTGTGGACATGTTGTGAAAGTTTTTAGAAATAAATATGACAATGCTGGTTTTTTACCCTAGAATGAGTGATCTCATTCATCATCGACAGAAGTCTCCTTGGCTTTGGTCTGACTTGATGTATCCTATGTTCCAAGAAGGAAGAGAACATGCTAGAAGCCTCAAGATCCTTCATAGTTTTACTGACAATGTAACCCATTGTTCCTCTTTCTATTTTTTTCCCATCAGTGGAGAGAAATGCTGTAAAAAATTTAGAGATGTCTGATTGTGAATGGGGTTCACCTATTAGGAACACCCCCTTTTCTGAGATACATATATAATAGGGGAACTGAATGATTATGATATTCAGTCCCTAAAGAAATGCCCTGAAGTGGAGACATACGTGCCTTAGAACTTATTGCTTGACTTTTGGTTTTAGCCAATGGATAACCCTAACATGGTACAGTAAAACTCCATTAGTCCGGCATCCAATGCTCCAGGACTCCTGATGGTCCGGCAACATCAGGAACCCGGAAGTGCTGGGGCAGCTGGACAGGCTTCCCCCATTCAGATGCTGCTGAAACTGACCAGCAGCTGAATCGGGGAAACCAGGAGCAGAGCAGCTGGGGAACTGCCGGGTTGGTCCTGTAGCGCTGCCCCTCGGGGCTGCGAGACCAACCCGGCAGCACTCCAGCTGCTCTTGGGGACGCCTGGGGCAGAGCAACTGGGGACGGCGCTACGGGACCAACCAGCAGCACCCCAGATGCTTTGCTCCAGACGTCCCCGATTCAGCCGCTGCTGAAACAGATCAGCGGCTGATTCCCGGAAGCCCCTCCCAACCCACTCCAGAACCCTGGTTGGTGCCGTAGCTCCGCCCCTCGGTGCTGTGGGACCAACCCGGCAGCACCACAGCTGCTCTATTGCAGGCACCCCCGATTCAGCTGCTGCTGAAACTGACCAGCAGCGGCTGAATCAGGGACTCCTGGGACAGAGCCTGACTATCGTAAGGGGGGGCTATGAGGGGTCTGGGGTGCATCCCCTCCCACCACACTCCAGACCCCTCATAGCCCCCCCTTCTGATAGTCGGGCATATCTGATAATCCGGAACCCTCTGGGTCCTAAAGGTGCCGGATTATTGGAAGTTTACTGTATGTGGTATTCTAACATTGCTTACTTTAGACATGGTATTGAGCCAGCATGGCCTTAAAAACACAGATTCTACATGAATCACAGCCATGGCTTGTGCATACACAGTGTTCCATAGAAAAACAAATACTAAAGGAAATACTAAGGGGGTCAGTAGAGATGCCACTTCCTATCACCAACCAGTGAATAGTATGGAGTCAGAGATAAAGTCATTTTTAAAATATCTGTGATAAAAGGTATTTTAAGAACATGGGTCCAGTGGCCACACTTAGATTGTGGAATCAAAACTGGAAAAATAATATAATGATTTATTTATATCTAAGGTTATTTCAGAAAAAGCCTGTGAAATAAATAACACCGCACAACATAAAAATGACTGTGATGACAACTGTGGACAAAGTGGGCCCAAAAGGAGACGGGCTTTTCTTGATATGCTTCTCACTACAACTGATGATGAAGGGAACAAACTGAGCTACATGGATATTCGAGAGGAAGTAGATACTTTCATGTTTGAGGTACTTCCAACTAAACTGAGTGGTCCCACTCTCTTCCTATACTGAATCTCTCTATGCTTCTGATAGCTTTTGCCAATTGTCTTTGGACCCTTTCCATGACACTCATATTGGTTGTGACATGGGATGACTGGAAATGATCACATTGGGCTTGATTCCCTGCTGTATTGCTCTGGCTTCTTGCTGGTGTACTTGTGTTGTTCTCATGGCAGTGGAATTAATTGTACCATGGTTGCTATGACTCTGTGCATAATTCCATCTGATTAAAATTATACTTGCTTTACTGAATTCTGTTAGTAAACATTCTCTTGTTTTTCTTTAGCATATAGTATGTGAATGGATTGGTTTCTTATTTGTAATACAGGCAGTCCCCTACTTACGCGGATCCGACTTATGTCGGATCCGCAGTTACGAACGGGGATTTTCTCGCCCCGGAGGACATGGACTGCAGACCAGGAAGACGCGGAGCAAAGCCGTGGAGGGGCTCGGGCTGCAGGGAGACGGGGAGCAAAGCCTTGGAGCACGCCCGCCGCCGCACGATGCTGGAGCACCCACAGTCTACTAAGCTGCCCCCCCCCAGGCTTTGGTGTGCAAGGGGAATGTGGGGAGTGTTTTTCTCCTTCTCAGTCGGGTGCCACTTAAGTGAGGGTTTTATGTGTGTGGCCCTCAACTGATTTTTCTGTGAGTCAGTGGCCCCCAACCCAAAAAAGGTTCCCCACCCGTGCCTTAGCGATTAACAAATATATTATGTCATGAGCGTTTGTGGGTAAAACCCACTTCATCAGATGAATTGGAGTCTTTTTCTGAAAGGTGGATTTACCCTTGGTCTCCCTTCCTAAGCCCTTAGAAATATAAGGAGAAACTATGCTCTTCTACTGTAAAAAGTATTAACCAATTCAGGCGTGCACTGTTTAATGTATCAATTTAGACATCATCCTGATTTCCTGGCATGCACAGTACTCTCATTGACTCATATAATGACAATATGCATGTGGTACACTTAAGCACAGGAATAAAAGCTGGCCATCATCTTTAGTGTATTTTGGTATCCTTCAGGATGAAAGGCACTATGTAATTGTCAAGTGTTATTTTATGTGAGGGTAGAGAAAGGGGGAAATTTAGAAATGTGAAAGTAAAGCGTGAAAGAAAGAAATCTATCAAAAGGTAAGCTCTTCCTTACATAGTATATACAGGCAGTCCCTGACTTACGCGGATCCGACTTGGGGACGCTTGGGGTTCTTAAGTTGAATCTGTATGTAAGTCGGAACTGGAGGTCAGTTTCAGCAGCGGCTGAATCTGGACGCCAGTTTCGACTTACATACAGATTCAACTTAAGAACAAACCAACAGTCCCTATCTTGTACGTAACCCGGGGACTGCCTGTATATCAATTTAGCAAAATTAAACTGTTTTGCCCTCTTCTGGTACATGATGGTAATACAGTATATTTTAACATGGGATAGTAATGATTGATAATGAGTAACTAACCAGAGGGGTTTACTTCCATTTCATTGTAAAGTGGCAAAGAAAGGCAAATTTCCTTCCAACAGTTGACAGAGGAAAAAATGACTTCAAGATTGATATAGAGTTGTGATGATTGTGGCTGTCTAGAGAGATTTAGTGGGTCAACAAGTTTATGCTGCAAGGAAGCAATAGCAAACCTCTTCCTCAGAGGATGAATGCAGAGAAAGACCCTTCACTCAGGCAGAATAGCTAAGTAATAGAAGATGAAGGCAAAGGGAATTCTGTTTGTTAAATGTTCTGATTTGTTTCAATTTGTTTTTTACCATAGGCTATGTGTACGCTAAGTGGTTTTTCTGGAATACGTCCAGGGAACGCATCTGCTCGTCCACTTTTTTTAGTAGAAGAGCAGACACGCTCTTTCAGAAGCTCTGTCTTCCTCCTCCCATGAGGAGGAAAGGCTCTTCCAAAAGAGGAGGCTTTTCCAAAATTTGGCCCAGTGTAGATCGGCCAAATTTCGGAAAAACCTCTTCTGAAGCAATTTGCGTACCTTTTTCCAATAGATCATAGTTGAGTAGACATAGCCAAATGTGGCCCGTCTACACTGGGCCAAATGTTGGAAAAACCTCCTTCTTCAGAAGAGCCCTTATTCCTCATGATATGAGTAAGACAGGACTTCTGAAAGAGCGTGTCTGCTCTTCCACAAATAAAAGCGGAAGAGCAGATGCATTCTCTGGACGTTCCCTGGTATCCCGCGAACTAGCTGTACTCCTCATTCCACGAGGAGTACAGCTAGTTCGGATTAGGAAGCCTAATCCGAACTAGCTACTCCGTGCCGCGTGTAGCCGCGCGGCACGGGGTTCGAACTGCCGGCTTTATGCAAATGAAGCCCGGGAAATTCAAATCCCGGGCTTCATTTGCAAGTGCGGTATGCCTACATTACCCTCCTAGTTCGAATTAGGAGGGTAGTGTAGACATACCCCATCTTATTACAAAACTGGTTATTTCCTGTTCAGTCTTGGGTACCAAATTTTTGCATAAATTCATATATTCTTACTTTTTCTTCTATATCTGCACAGTTAAGCTGTACCAGTGTTCCCTCTTAACTGCACGGCAGCACAGCTTCACAGGTGATTAATCAGCCCTGCGCAGCCAGAGGCTCAGGGCTCCTTAGAAGGAATGCTGAGCTGTAGCATTATGATAGCCATAATTCTTTGTATATATTTATTTTCATATGCATGAGGATAATGCAGATCTGAACATCTGAGTAAATCTGTACCTCCAGGGACACGATACAACCGCTGCGGCTATGAACTGGGCCATCTACTTACTTGGTTGTCATCCTGAAGCCCAGAAAAAAGTTCACAAAGAATTGGATGAAGTGTTTGGTATGTCTCTACTCTTTCCTTGGATGTGGGCTTAAGTTTGTATTGTACAATATATGGTATATTTGTATACTTACTTTTGTGTAGAGATTTTAAAAGGCAAATAAACCACTGTAGTGTACGTGCTGTAACACTTTTGTGGAGAAAGAGATATCAGTAGGAGTTGGTTTGATGCTAAGAGGTTTGTGACAGCTTGTTGTACTGTACTTAGATTTTATAGTTTTTCAGGCAGGTATCATCTCTTTATTACATGTTTGAATAGTGCCTTGTACAGTGGGATCCCAGTCCAGGCTCTTCAATGCCACCTCAAACCCATAAGTACAGTGGTGGAGTTATAGTTTTGTCAACATTTAAGATAGCTGTGAACCTATTAATATAGCTTATGTATTTCATCTGATCAGAAGAGTTGTTTCTCACACCCCATTGTAATTCTGATCAGGTGACTCTGACGGGCCTGTCACAATGGAGGACTTGAAAAAACTTCATTATCTTGAGTGTGTTGTTAAAGAAGCCCTTCGTCTCTTCCCTTCAGTTCCATTCTTTGCCCGCACCACAAGTGTAGATTGCCATATGAGTAAGTAGCTCTCAGCCTTTTGTGTGTATATATAGTTTTGTGTGCATTTATCATTGAAGGTTTGATAAATATCTTCTCCATCAAGGTGTTGCATAAGTAAATAATTGGTTTTGAGCTTTGTATCCTTTTAGAGAAGGCCCCTCGTTTCACTGGCATATTGATACTGGTTTTGCAGGAGGATTTAAGATACCAAAAGCAACAGAGGTAATCGTCGTTCCTTATGTGCTACACAGAGAACCAGAGATTTTCCCAGACCCAGAAGAATTCAGGCCTGAGCGATTCTTCCCTGAGAATTCTAGGGGAAGGCACCCGTATGCATATGTGCCTTTCTCTGCTGGTCCCAGAAACTGTATTGGTATGTAGTAAGTGTAATAGGTCCCATCTTTGGTTATTTTCTTACCACTTAGGTGATGTGCCTTGGCTGTAGTATTCACTACAGAAACTATGAATTTGAATAGAGATTTCAGATCTCTGTGGCTGAAAACTGTAGTAAAGCAATTTTTACATTATTACAATCACACCTTTTTTTTTTCTTCCCATGGGGATCTTTAGAGTCCACATTACCTCCAATTTATTATTTTTCTCCTTATTGAGACGTAGTTCAGTTCTGCTCAAGAGGGCTGGGCACATCCTCCAAAGTCCAGAATCCCTCAAAGATATAATGAGAACTCATGAGGGAATAACATGAACTCTTCCTTTGGATATGTTTGCTGGCTATACAGTGATCCCAATCAATGATCCCAACCCGCAGGCTCTGGGAAAATGTAAAAACCCTCTTTATTAAAACGTATAAGTTGTTCAGAAATGGGCTGCTGGTTTGCCTGTGTTTGTGTCTCTAAAGCACCTGACACAGCTATGAGCATTCATTGGTCTGATCTCATTTCATTTTAGGATTTTATTTCATTTGGAATGGGTCAGTCTTCATGACAGAAGTACTGCTATGGGCAGTGCTCTCAGCAGGGGCTGGTGAGATTCTTCTGTGAGGAGTGCAAAGTTTTATAGTACACATTCTTGGGAATCCAAATATTAAGTGAATCTAAGATATAAAAAAAAACCCTCGAAGACTATTTCTTTATTCTTGATCTTGGTGTGTTGAAAAATGATTTAATGTATTATTAATTAGACTAATTAATTACTGGTTCTAAAGCTCCCAAAGAAGTCTGGGTACTTTGTAGACATAAAGATTCCTGCCTAGAGATTTGGCAGTCTGAATAGGAGAGTGTACAGAAAAGGGATTGAGGGAAGGGCAAGAGATAGCACAACTTAAATCCACCCCTTTTTCGAGTTAAAGCTTTGGCTAAGGGCTTGTTTATACTAGAAATGCTATGGCAACACAGCTGTAGAGGTTCAATGAAGATACTGTGTATGCTGATGGAAAGGACTCTCTCCTCAGCATAGGTAATCCATGTCCCTGAGAGGCTGAAGTTTGGTTGATGGAAGGGAATTCTTCTGTCAACTAGCACTGTCTATGTGGGGGGTAGGTTGGTAGAGCTATGTCTCTTCAGACAAGGGTGTGTGGATTTTTCATACCCTGAGACATAGCTACACTGGTATACATTTCTAGTGTATACCAGGGCTAATTGCGTGGTCTGTGACCCATGTCAATTTGCTTAGTTCGATTTTTTTTCCCCTCCTCTTTTGTCTTAAACATTTAGGGTGTGTCTATGCTACATCCCTCTTTCGACAGAGGGATGTAAATTAGACACTTCGAAATTGCAAATGAAGCCGGGATTTGAATTTCCCGTGCTTCATTTGCATAATTGCATCATGGCACTCTTTCAAAAAAGCATTATTTCAAAAATGAAACGGCAGTCTAGATGCAATTCTTTTAAAAAAGAAGCCTTTTTCAAAAGAACCGTGTCTAGACAAGAGTTTCACTTTCAAAATACCCTTTTTCGAAAGAGCGCCATGATGCAATTATGCAAATGAAGTGTGGGATATTTAAATCCCCGCTTCATTTGCACTTTGGATCTGCCTAATTTACATCTCTTTCAAAAGAAGGATGAACTTTAGACATGCCCTTAATTGTCTGCCTAATTCCTCCTCCTCCTATCACACCAACACACTCTATTTTTAGGATTTAAAAAAAAAATCTGTCACTTTTCGTGTTGTGTATGTACATCCATTCAACCTTGAATTGGGCCCACATTGGTTTTATAATCTGTGACATCAGATGCACAGTTATTCCCATGCTGCATTTTATTGGAAATCTATGAAGTATAATTATGAGCGCTGTTTAATATTAAACTACTACTGTTTTTGTTTCAATTTAACCTGAAGGCCAGCGCTTTGCACAGATGGAAGAGAAAGCTGTTCTAGCCATCATCCTACGGCACTTTTGGGTGGAAACGAGTCAAAAGCGAGAAGAGCTTGGACTTGTGGGAGAACTAATTCTTCGCCCAAGTAAGGGCATCTGGATCCAACTGAAAAAGAGAAGATAGCGTGTGTCATATGAAAAAAGCTCATACGAATTTTAGCTCCTAAAACGTGCTCAGCGGTATCATATAGCACACTCTGATCACAATTTTTTATAGAATTGTAATATATCAAAATATTTCAGAATCTCTAAGCCTTTTGTACTAGAAATATTTAACTTGGGATGTAATTTTTCCCTCCCATTCAGGTGGTGTAATGTCTCAAAGTAACATTGACATTTGAACTTGTATTGTTACTAGCCATTGTCTTGGCATTTTACGTCACTTTCTCTGAGATGACCATTCATGTTGCTCTATGAAATGGTCAGCTGGCTGACTTCTCACTCTTGAGAAAAAGTTACTAAGGTGTAGGACATGCTCAGCTTCCACTCTCCATAGGTAGGAGTATGGAGGTGTCCTTCTAACCATAGTCTCTTAATTGCCAACCCAAGGTGCTGTTATAGTATCATTAGAATATTTTTGGTGTATGAGTTTCTAGCTTATGTGAGGGAAATTAGACAGCTGCTATTCTCAAGTGGAATTGTGGTAAGCTAAATATAGAAGACTTTCTGTGAATTGGGAGATCCTTGCAAACAATGAAGCAGATCCTCAGATGGTGTAAATCATCTTATCTCTGGGGACTTCTATGGAGCTGTGCAGGTTTACTTAAGATGAGGATATAAACCATGATTATGTTTGCTTGTTTTTTGGCAAATTCATTCAGCAATTTGTCATGTGCTAAACAAACTCATGTCTCTATTGTGGCACTGAACTTCTCCTGGCTTCAGTGGGGCTGCACTAGACCAAGAGGGGAGAATTTGTCAAATAACTTCCAGTGTGCCTATTGAAGGGAAAGAAATATTTTCCAAAATGTGTGCGCTCTTTGAATGTTATTGTGGCCTTGATTGTTGGAATAATTCATCATGTAATATAATAAGTTCAGCTAGCAATTGATTCTCACTGAGATTCATGTACATCTCTGCACTTTAAAAGATTGTAACCCTTTATAAAGAATATCAAACATATCCAATTATTAGAAGTTTTCCTTGTTCAGTTTCTGTTTCTGGTACTTTGTTCATGTAGCAGTCCTCGCCACATGAGCCACTTTCCTTAGGATACAGCAAATACTAAGGTAGTGTGAAGCGTAAGCTGGTACTGGAGAAGAAAGTGGAAGTGCTGTATCTGCCTGGCTTGTGCACAATATGAGAAATGTGGTCACCAGCACAAATAATCTACCTATTTAGCATGCAGAGCCAAAATCTGTTGCGATACCAAGGTCCTGTGGAAAAACAAGTATGTTAAGCATGTGATTAAAGCCTGGATCAGACTTACAGCTGCATGAATAATGGACTTGTCTGTTTGCTGGCAATTCAAAAAACAAGAAAAACATTTTATTTTGGGTTGAATCATAAATTAAATTATTCAGTAACCTGAAGAGTCAAACAATTTTAAGTTGGGCCAAAACATTGAGAGCTGAAATTTTATTTTCTAATTTTGGGCACATTTACAAAAATAACATCTGGATTCGCAAGATAGTATGGGAAAGAGCTTCTTTTCCCTGTTCTCATTCCTACCAATTGGCTCTCTACTAGTACCACTCTACCAGTTTGAATCCATAAAAAACAAAATTGCTGCCCATCCCCCATGCTCTAAGGGTTTGAGCACTCACCTGGGAGAGGAAAGATATCTGATGACTCTGCCCCCCCCATTTCTCACCTCTTAGATGAGTGCACCAGGCTACAGGGTAAGGTATTTCAGTCTCTCTCGATTCTGTTCCACTTGTATAACTTCTAAATATTCATTGGAGCTGGGATAGTAGCCTGGCTTTTCCAGGTGAGTTCTCTAACCACTAGGCTATGAAGTCATTCTCACCATCTTTCAGGCCCAATGTCTTGGCTGGCTTAGATGGCTCCCTGCTCAGCTTTCTGGCTTATACAAATCACCTTCTTAGTCACATAACTCTCCCAATTCATGAGGTGTCAGGGCACCTAACCCTCAAGCATTATGACACTGAACGTAGGTCCACATCCTCAATTCTAGCTGATTTCAGTAGGAGTCAGCTAAATGCCTTTTGAGCAGCTGGTTCTTAGGCCCTACATGCCACCAACAGGTGTGAATCTCCTGCAATGGCAGGGTTGCTTCCTCCATCTGAGCCAGGCACTGCCACTACGGCCCTTTCGTCGGGACTGAACCTAGAGGTGCTTATTAGCTTTCTCCTGACTGGGTTGCAGGTAGGGTGCCCCAGCACAAAACTGAATAGGGTAAGCTCCTTTAGCCTCACATGTTAAGGCTCATTTTCCAGTACCCGAATCACTTTTATTGCCCTCTTCTGAGCTGTCTCCAGTATTTTCATGTCCTTCCTGAAGTGTGGACTCCAGAACATGACACCGTCATTTTGCCAGTGCTGTGTATACAGGTAAGATGACTTCCCTTCCTCAATTTCATAACACCCTTTTTATATAACCAAGGATCATATTAGCCCTTTTTGCCTCAACATTGCACTGGAAACTCATCTGGAAGCAATTTTCTATGATGACCAATAAATACATCACTGCTTTCAAGGTCAGAGGCCCCCATCTATATATCTAGCTGCATTCCTTGTTCCCAGATATATTATCTTGCACTTGGCTTTATTAAAACATATTTTGTTAGATTATGATGATTTAAATAGGCAATTCAGATTACTTTGTAAGAGTAACCTGTCCTCCTTGTTCTTTATGACCCTACCATTGTGTGTGTCATCTGCAAATTATACCATCCAATATTTAATATAATTGTCTATTTCACGGATAAAATACTGAACAGTATTGGACCCAACCCTGAAGGATCCTGCTCATTGACTTATCTCCTTTAACAGCTATAATTTGAGATGTTAGTGAGCCAGTTTTAATCCTTTGAATGTGTGCCTTATTAATTCCATATAATCTGAACTCTTGGTGGTAGTAAGTCAAGTAAATGCATGAGGGTATGTCTACACTACAGCACTAATTCGAACTAATTTAATTTGAATTAGTTAATCTAGACCTAAAAACTAATTCGAATTAGCATTTTGCTAATTCGAAATACCATGCTGCCCTTAAATGCGATCCAATGTCCAATCAATGTGGATGCGCTATTTTGAAATAGCAAAATGCTATTTCGAATTAGTTTTTAGGTCTAGATTAACTAATTCAAATTAAATTAGTTCGAATTAGTGCTGTAGTGTAGACATACCCTTTGATTTTTATCTGTTTAGGTTTAAGTACCCATTCTCCAGATACTCAGTGATGCTCTGTCTCAAATCCCCCTTCCTTTTTTTCTTTTTCATCCTCCTCTCCTTCCCCTCTCCTATTTATTTCAAGTTTTCATATCCCCTACTCATAACTCCGGTCATCTGAAGAAGTGGGCTGTGCCCACAAAAGCTCATGATACCATCTGCATGTTTTGTTAGTTTATAAAGTGCTACCAGACCATTTGGTGTTTTTTTCTGTAACAGACTAACTCAGCTACACCCTGAAACTCATTTTATAAGGGTTATCTGGAATACTTACTTAATTGTGAGTTATACACATCATAAGTGTGTAGTTGCTAGGGACAAGCTTACATGTATGGCTGGATGAGTGTGTTTGATTAATGACAAATATTAGCACAAAAGACCACATATACATAAATAATTTGTTCTGGTCCATTTTATGTATGGGTATGTCTATACTACACTGTTATTTTGAAATGAAATAACACGTCTACACATAAAATGCATTTTGAAATAGCATTTTGTTAATTTGAAATAGTGCGACCACACTGAGTGGACTCTGAATAGCATTTAAGGCTGGCCGGAATCAGTTCCAACAGGGCATCAGGTCAGGACTTACTGTGTGGGGCTGCTGCCTGAGGCTATCTGAGGTCTGTGCATAAAGGGCCCCCCCCCCCGGACAGCCAGTTCTCAGGTTTCCCTGCTTGCTTGTCTACTTCGATGAGGGACAGCAAATCATTTTGTCTCTGCGTGTTTTGGTTGCCCTCACTCGGGACACCACAGCACTCTGCAACATAGAGCCAGAGCTGACCCTGGGCACTCTGGGGCTTCTCTTGGATGCGTTGCTGTGAGCCTGGCTTCACTTTCTGCAGGCTGCCATCTGGGAGGTCTATCGGGGGGCTGTCAGTATCCAGGAGGCCCTGTGGGAGAGCTTCCACCCTGAGGATCACTAAGAGCCTTTCTGGTCTGCCCCACTGGGGGCTTGTGCCTCATTTCCCTCACGTTCTTCCACTTACCCCTCCCTAACCCCCCTTCCTGATGTCAAATAAAATACATGTATTTCCATGAACACAAACTCTCTTTATTTAACAAAACTGGGGAAGGGGGGATGCAACTCTGGTGAGACTGGGGAAAGGAGATGGGAGATGGGAGAAGAGAGGATGGAAGAGGGGAGGGGGAAACCTGGGAGGAGGGAGCTGGAAGGGAGAAGCAAGGGGAAGCAGGGGGAGGGGAAGCTCAGGACTCAGGGTTGGGGGTCTCACCGGACCAAGTTGATTTTCATGCAAACCTGCTCTTGGGTTTGCATGTGGCCTTTGGTGGCCAGGCTGGCAGCTATCCTGCCATAGATGTCTGCGTTCCTCCATCTAGTGCGGAGAGCATGGACGTTGGGGGCCTCCCCCCAAACCTGAATAAGGTCTATGATCTCCACCCTGGACCAGGAAGGCGCTTGCCTTCTCCGGGCCCTGGCAGGCTCCTAGGAGCTGGCAGACTGCTTCTGGGGAGTGGTGTAGGGCTGACTGCCAGTGGCTTGATGGCTCATGTTTTGGAGCCACTGGTTCAGAGGCAGTGACTTCTGGCTCTGGGCTGGCAGGCTTGGAGCCGGCACAGGCACTGTGGCCAGAGTCAACCTGTTTAAGGGCTCTGGGGAAGGGAGGAGGGAGAGAATTGTTCTTGGTTGAGGCTGGAGTGGCGACCAGGGCACCCTGGGAAGGCTGGAGACCCCCTATTTCTAAATAAGTGTCTACACAGCACTTATTTTGAAATAGCTATTTCGAGTTTGGAGTTATTCCTCGTAGAATGAGGTTTACCAAATTCGAAATAAGCGCTCAGCTATTTTGAATTTATTTCGAAATAGCGGTTTGGCTGTGTAGACGCTAGGAAAGTTGTTTCGAAATAAGGGTTGTTATTTTAAAATAATTTTGCTGGGTAGACATACCCAACATTCTCATGTTGCCCTCATCACTATAGTAACTCAGAGCCTCCCAATATTACACTGAACATCATGAATATGATTTGTTATGTATGCACAATAATAGAAGTGGATGATTGCATCTGGGGATTTGAAAATGATAAATAATTATTGGAGAGTGACAGCATAGGCTGTCTGAATCCCCATATATTAGTACTACAGCCTAGCATATAGACAGCACTTTACAACACTTCCTTCACTCCTTTGATGTAGGTTAGTAACTATCCCCAAAGACTGAGAGGTTAAATGACTCATACAATACCACACTGTGAGTTGGTGGCGAAACACATGGTAAATGGATTGGTATTCTGGAGTTCTTGATCCCAACTCTCCCTCGTTTTTCTGATCTATAATTGGTTATACTATTTGGTACTAGTATGAAAAAAATCATGAATGTAGCCTCACTGTTTTGCTATGGAATAATTTATGAAACCGGTTTGATTCTCTTTGAATGTATTCATTATTTATAGACATTTGGTGAATAGTTTTGAAGACTAAAATTAGAATAGGAATTTTGCCCAACCCTCACTTTGCTTTTTTTAACTGTTTCTCAGAGAGTTCAATTACTTAAATTATATACTATTTGTGTTAGGGGGATGGGTAGGGTGACTGAGGAGTTTTTTTAAAACAGAAGACTAAAACTTCTAGAATTAAATTTTACAAGAATAAAAATCTGTAAATTTTGGGATGCACAAACATTTTATCAAATACTAACTTTTGTCAAAATATTCCCATATAATAAATGACATAATCCTACAAAATAACAATGTTCACTTGGTATTTGTATTCATGGAACTATTCCCTTTCCCCCCCCTTTTTTTAACTAGCTCTACCCTAAATCAGGGATGGGCCATAAGCAGCCCATGGGTCAGACGTGCTTTGCCAGGATCAGCCCTGCTGGGCTGCCAGATGCTTTATTTACCCTAGCATCCACACATATAGCCAGCCACTCGCAGCTCTTGCTGGCGTGGTTCACCATTCGCAGACAATGGGAATTGTGGGAAATGGTGGGTCTGATTCCCAGATGTGGGGTT